CTAATAAAGAGATTGAACAGCGCGGGCCCAAGGACCGAGCCCTGGGGGACTCCGCTGCCCATTTCCCCCCAAGTCAAATATGACCCATCCACAACCACCCTCTGAGTGCGACCCTTCAGCCAATCTGGAATCCATCTGACTGTGTAGGCATCAATGCCACAGTCACCTAGTTTTTTAATGAGGATGGGGTGGGAGATGGTGTTAAAGGCCTTGCTGAAGTCCAGAAAGACTACGTCCACGGCGACACCTGCATCCAATGCTTTTGTGACCTGATCATAAAAGGCAATCAGGTTGGTCTGACATGACCTGCCCCTAATGAAACCGTGCTGGTTGCCCTGGAGCATCATCCCTGAAGCTGGCCCATCGCAGGTGCGCTCCTTGATTATCTTCTCAACGAGTTTCCCTAGGATTGAGGTAAGACTAATGGGCCTATAGTTGCCCGGGTCTTCCCTCCTCCCTTTTCTTCAAAGGATCTCACATCACGCCTATTGAGAATCACTGAATATTTCTATGAAAGAAGGGCAGATGTACACTACCCTTTCATTTAAAAAAAAAGAAAAAAAAAAGTGTGGCAGCTGCCACTATTTTGGGCAGAGCCTCATTTCCTAGGCCTGTTCTGTGAAAGCCCCTGCCCCTTGAGTGAGAGAGGCAGAGGTGTGCCTACTTTCTGGATGTTTATCATTTTCAGGGGAAACTAAGTGTCAAGCTACTCAGCTGTGTTGTGATGGAGATGCTTATGTGCATGTGCAGAAGGGAGTTTTTAGCATCCTGGGAGTCGAGAACTGAGCCAACTGTGTAGTTTAGGTGCCTCCAGGGATGAATGACAGGTGAGTGGGAGTTTTCAGGACTTGGGTACTTAGGTGTCTTTACACATGGTCCAGGGGTCTCAGGAGCTGCTCTAATTAAAGTGCCTTCATCATCTCATGTATTCAGCATCCCGTGCTTCAAAATGGTAGCGAGGGCACTTTAACTAAAGCTTGTTTGACAAGCTTTGATTAAAGCACCCCTACTGCCATTTTGAAGCATGGGGATGCTGAATACACAAGACACTGAGGTTGCTAGAGCATGCTAATTAGCACACTCCAGCAGACTTGATTAATCAAGTCTGCTCCAACACACTACATGTCTACAGGCACCTCTAAAGTCTATCTAAGTGCCACTTCAGATAGTTCAGAACCTTTTTTGGGACTTTGGCTTGAATAATTAGCTGAGAAAACTGCCAAGCATTTCCATGAACCCCCTACTGACTGCTTGAAACTGAATTCAAGTTCTGTTGGAAATGAGACCTGAACACTGGTGAGATTTTGTCATTCTTTTATGGTTTGGTATAGTAGGTGTGAACACATTTTTCTAACCAGTTGCAGTAAGCAGAGCAAGAGGGCCTAGTAATGGGATGGGAGACCTTTTGGAGTGTTGTGTTGAAGGAACGGTCTTTTGGACGAGGTTAAAACCAGCTGTGGTCACTAAAGATCCAAGTAGATAATTAAACATGATCTTCTGGACTGATTCTAATTTGGTAACTTTATTTCATATATCCCAAGGCCACTGCAATTTCAGCTGGGTAAAATATTTGCCTGTTAGGAACAGTGAACTTGCCAATGTTCTATATATAAGTATACAGATTTACACTAGTAGAGAATTTGGCCTTCTGTCTCTGACTTTTACCAGTGCCAAATCCATCAGAGGAAGATGCAAAAATTAAATGATTATGGGATAATCTGGCCATTGGGAAAATATTTCCCAAATCCCATGCTATTAGTGGTTGGATCTGCTCAGAAGTATGAGTATACACATCTCTTATCTGTTTAATCAAAACATCTGTCCAGAATTTATATATTATTGTGCACTGTTGCAAGATGGTTACTGTTCAGCTCTGTGAATTGATTCTGTGTGCTTACAGAACGTAAAGCATTTGCAGATCCTTTGTCATTAGAGGGACTATACATGGTATTTTATGAAAAGTACTATATGAAAAGGATAATAAGAATGGGCAGGCAGCATCTTGATCTAGGGTAAAAGAAACAGGGAATCTTTTACAAATTAGGAAATCATTTATATGGGTGCTGCATTCTGATGTTCTAATAAAGTTGGTAAGGAGGAGATGTTTTCCTTCCCTTATTTGAGCCATAGCCTGCAGCTATCAGGTGGGAAGCTTTTGTTAAGCTTTTGAAATCTTTGGTGCTGAGAATGGCAGAATGATAGCCAGCATTTGCAAAATATATGTGCATTGTGGGAGTGTCAGCTGAATCTCAAATCTAGCTAGTAATTACTTATTCAGGTATAAACTTGCTCTCAAGCCTTTTTGGTAACAATTAGCAGAGAGACTGTTGCATGACCACAATCTTTGCAATGGGCAAGGCAGGGGGCGTCAAATAATATGTTGAGTAAATATGTAAATGGGAAAAATCTCAGTGGCCTTTTGTACCTTTCCCCTCAAATGCAGGGAACCCCTCAGTCCTCCAGTGCTGGCAGCATTAATTCACCGGTTATATTGAGGATGACTAAACTCTAGAGTCAATGAGTCTGGGTAGAGGTAGAGTGGGGGAGGTGTGTGTACAGTGAGTGCTATTATTTCCTAAAGCCTCTTTTAAAATTAATAATGTCCCAATCAATGTTGATGTACAGCCTGTTCAGTGTTATTCATTTAAAAAGGACAGGAAAGATGTGATACCCGAGCTGAAGTATTGTGTCCAATTCTGGGTGCTGCACTTCAGAAAAGATGTAGAGAATCTTGAAAGGGTCCAGAGAAGAGCAACAAGAATGATTAAGGGCCTGGAGGACAAACCTCATGAGGAAAGACTAAGGGATCTGGGACTGTTCAACCTGGGGAAGAGAAGACTGAGGGGGGACTTGGTGGCCATCTATAAGTATGTAAAGGATGAACATTGGGAACTGGGAGAAAAAACTGTTCACTAGGGTGCCCCAGGGGAGGACAAGGAGCAATGGCCATAAACTGTTAGAGGATGGTTTCAGGTTGGATGTAAGGAAGAACTTCTTTACAGTAAAGGTGACCAGAATCTGGAATGGACTTCCCAAGGAGGTGGTGCAGTCCCCAACCTTGGAAGTCTTTAAGAGGAGACTGGACAGACACCTTGATCATTTGATCTCAGCAGTATTCCTGAGGGGGGGGGGGGGTTAAACTCAATCTTTCAAGGTGCCTTCCAGCCCTTAATATCTATGATTCTATGTACCTCAGTGTTCAGTTAGATACATATGTGATTTTTATTGACTGTGGACACATTATCCAGGGAAGACTTCTGCCAAGAGCTAAAGCTGGTGTATTTATTAGGAGATATGTAGAAGACGATGGGTAGCAGAGAGAGAAAAAAGCTAGCTCTTCTGCTATCATTTTGTGTCCAAAGATCTTGTTTTCAATTCCTTATAGCTTTGCCAAACTTAAATCAACTGGGCTGAATTTTTTCATACTGGCAATTGCTTCAGACCACCTTTTTGGGGTATCTTCATCTAAAAGCAGTTCAGCTATTTCTGATTTCAAAGTTAGGGAAAGATGCAGTGTTTTGCCCGTGTTAATGAGCAAATTCTTATAAACTCTTTCACTTACATGATCTACCAGCTCCATGCACTGGAGCAGGCGCTAGAGATTTGGAGTATGGAAGGGAGTTGTGCTAGCATAATCAATTGGGCTTCTCTATCCTTATGAAAATTCATCAAAATCTGGCCAAATCATGAGATTCTGAAAGACCTCAGTTTTCATGTGCCAAGTAGAGACTTTTTAAGAAGACCAAGGTGAGGAAAGCTGGCAGTGCTGTTGGCAAAAAAATTGTAAGTGAGGGACTGATACCTGTTGAAAAGTTTTGTTACTAAAAGATGTGGAAGATTTCCAAGGTAGGCGATTGTACCATCTCTGGAGGGAGCTTATTCCACAGTCTGGACACTGTAGTTGTGAAGCAGTTTTTCCTAATGTTGAGCCTGAAGTGGTCTTCCAGGAGTTAGTGACCAATACTCTTAGTTTTCCCCAAGGGTGCCCTGGTGAACAGTTGTTCACTGAGTCCCTTAATGTATGTCTCTGATGTACATGGAGGAAGAGCAAGAATAGGAGAGGAGACTGCTTGACTAAAATGCAGAGGTATATAATGGCAGATGGAAGCTGGTGAAAGATGCAGAGATGGGTGACAAGTGTAGGAACTCAAGGGGGGAATAGTATAGGGGGGAGGGAGTTAAGTCCAGAAATTGAGGGTTATGATTATATACAAAGTTTTCCACAGGAAGCCCTACATTATTTGGGAATGGACTGTGCTCTGGGCATGAATTATGGGCATGTGGTGAAGGCAGCTACTAGCTGTAAGATCCTTTTTTCATTTCTTGCAGAAATTGGAAGTTATTTGGCAACTGAGGCATTGCTACACTGACCATGTAATTAAAGATGGTATTATAATGTGGGCACACAAGGTATGTCATGCCCAGGCAACATTTATTCTGTCATTCCCTAGTTTAAGGGTGCTTAATTATAAATGTGAGTATTGAAATGACAAAAAAGCCAAGGAGATGAGTAAAGGAAAAAAAGGTTTAATAGATATATAAATTATGTTAATTAAAAAAATCACCCTAACAACAAGCAAAGCTATATGGGCTTCTAAAGACACAAAACACTAGAACCCATAGAGAGTAAATCAAATGATTATAGATGTTCAGCTTCTGAAAGGATTTATTTAGGCTAAAATTTATCAATCAAGGCACTTAAGTGGGCTGATTTTCAGAAAAGATGACCATTTATGTAGGAGCCTGAATATGAATGTAGGTGTCCTACTTTAGGTCTCTAAGTTTGAAAATTTCAGCCAGGATAGATAAGGCTAATGTCCAAACAAATAACTGTTACAAATCATGCTGGGAACACTGAAACCAGTTACCTTTCCCAAAAGATTGTACCAAACAGTGCAAACAGAAAAAGTCATATCGAGTCAACCAGGGTGAAGATCTCATTGGGAATGAGCAAAGAAGATAAAAAGTGTTTTGGGTGAACTGCAACAAGTGTTTTGGACAGAATTCCCTTACCCAAATGGCAGTGTTCCAGCTGTGACGTTCTTGGCACTTGGCACTTAAACAAAGTTTGCAATTTTTGCCTATGCAATGTAAGTACCCAATAGCTACTGGCCATATGTAGTAGGCTATGCATGGGCTGAGTGAATATGTATCTATATCTGCATGTGCTGGTATGCATAATTTTAAAAATTCCATCTTGCAAAAACTGGCAACTAGCTGGTGCAAGATACAGGAGGAGCAGAAGGATCTTCCACCGGATGAGCTGAGTGCTTAACAGCCTTGGCTAGGGTGTGGAAGCCTTAGGTTCTAGGGTCCCTTCTTCACTCAGAGTGGTTTTGAACCTGTATTTGTTTAACTTCTAGCACAGTGCTCAAACCACAGGTTAGGCATGAAAAGGCCATAAAAGGCCCTTTTTAGCATTTCTTTTGAAGCTGGCTCCCTGAGTGTTCAAGAGACAAAGAATGTGTGGGGTCAGGCAAGCTGTGTATATGGCTCAGTTACATGGCTGTTGCCTTGGATAAAAGACTTCTAGCCTGGACCCTTGCTCCTACTGGGAGCAAGGGTCCAGCTTAGTTGATGAATGTTAAATACCAGGGGGCAGTAGTTCAGCTCCAAAAGGAGGGGCTGTGGGCATGACTGGATAGGTAGTGTTATGGCACTATGCTGACAATTCAGACGTTTACACACCTTCTGGTTGAGGGTGCCCTGGTTGCTGGGGAGTGCCCTATCTACTCAACTATTGGGGCTGAAAGATGGGAAGGGCCCTCCTTTTTCTTGTTCTTTCAATACTTACGCTCAGGTATGTGTGTACATTCCTAGCCAGCATATAGCCTACTACACATGCTCAGAAACCATGTGGACAATTATGTATCCACACTGAATGTGTAGCAAAATAGCAAGCAGTACAAAAATGCCACTTAAGCATTTGGAAACTGCCAGTTGGATGGATAAAGGGTAAAGATTCTGTTCTTTGTGATCAGTCTCCCACTGATGACACTATTTATCTTAGGTCATCTACATTTTGACTTCAGTTTGAATGCATAGTATACCAGCACAGTGGTTCTTGTACTTTAAGAACGAATGGAACGCTGTTAGCCCTCAAAATTTGTCATAGATGACCTTTATCATGAGAATTATAGTAAAAGAAGGCAGAGAAACAGCGTGACCACTTATTATAACCTAATGAAACACCAGTGGTTTATGTTCCACAGTTTGATAAAGACTGCTTTACAGCAGTTTAGGGATTATCAAGGTTTGCATGTAAAAGTGGATTTGCTTGGATAGAAAATTTCCTTGTCCAGCTTGTGGACATCTGTTCTCACACAGTCTCTCTCTTTATAATGTTGACCCATTCAGGTCAGAATGGTATCTTGTGGACCTATAGTGATTATAGAAAACACATGGGAGAGATGAGAGAGGTCTTGAAACTGCCTGATGTATTAAAAAAACAAACCCAACTCAGACTGTGCTGACATCTAGAATGTTTTAATGCTCTTTTATTGCTAGAGATTTCTGTGTGGACGTGTAGCTGTGCAGGGGTGCACCTGCAACCTTTCTCCTCTCCTGTTCACAACAGCATGTTCCCACATTCCTCGTACCCAGAAGGAGCAAGGACAGGTAGCATTCTGGGCAGCAGGATTCCAGGAAAGGGGTGAGGAAGAAGCTTTAGGATTACATTTCTGTCTGCACCCACTTGTGCAGCAGGACTGGAGCACAGGAGGGAATCTGATTCATTCTCATGGACGGAGCAGTCTATGCAACCGTGTCTCCACTCTGCCTCCCGCTCAAGGGCTGTTACTTAAAAGCCAGCATCTGGCCTTCAGGATTAAACCACTAATTCTGTGAGGAATCTAGCACAGGAATTTCTTTTCCTTTCAGCTGATTCTGTTGAAAGCAGTGACATAACCACAGCACTAAACAGAGGTGAGGGTCAATGTTCAGTGCTGTGAGTGTTTATACTATACACAGTTGCCAACGACAGTGAAATCTTGCAACAAATGAGCCTGTTGTTATGATCTGTCCTGGATTTGACCAAGCTCATTGAGGCTTTCACAGCATTTTGCTATGATTACAAATTCTTATCTTCTTTCTTAAAATCACCTGGTGCCTAAAGAGGGCATCCATTATGTCACACCAAACCAAACTGACACAGTTAATTATAGTTTAAAAAATGTGCGTCTGTATTGCAATAACTCTTAAAACACAAAGCCTCCGTGGTTTGAAGTGATTTTTGCCAAGTGCAATGACTCATAATGCCTGGAAAGAAGATCTTGCAATTTTTTGTTTTATAATTTACTATAATTAAGAAAATATTATGATTTGAGTACAAGGAACAGCAAAACTGAAGACCTATTGTTACAGTACAGTGGTGGCAAAGAGGAAAATTGCATTATATGCTCCTACAAACAGCACAGCATCCTACAAATACGTTTCAGCATGTTTTCAAGCCTTATTTTTTGTTTTGTTTTTAAAATCAATCTGGGGAGAGCAAGAGGAAATGTGGTTGGTAGAAAATGAGCCTGAACACTGCATTGTATTTAATCTACTCCTTCCATGTCGTTATCTGGTGTTTGTTGTGTGGGCTGATCTTGAGTTGGCCACTGAGCCTGAGCTCCTACACATTCTTCATCCTTTGGCTCACTTTCAATTGGCTTCAGTGCTGGACTCGCTGGCTCTGAGTGACTTGCTATCTCAGGCTGAAGGGTGGGATGAGGCAGAAGCTCTGGCTCTGGTGGGGGCAGAGGACTGCATGCTTGCATGTCACAGGTCTCTTGATTGGTGTTTTCGTCGGAGACTGCAAGGGGCTGTTCCTTGTGATGAGTCACCGTGAAAGCTGCAGCCAGATTCTTCAGCATGTTCTCATCAGCAGTGTACAGCTCTGTATTAGGCTGTTCAATAACAGAAGGACTTGCACCGGCCTCCTCTTGCAAGATGTCATCATTTCTATCCTCTTCTTCTAACTCTTCAGGGAATTTTGCATCTCTTATTTTTTTGTAGAGTTCATTCCTCTCTTCCTGCAGAGCTCTGCAAAGGTTTTCTAGCCTCTGGATTTTCAGCACAAAGCATTCATACTCCTTGGTCCTCATTGCTTTCTGTGATTAAATATAAAAAATCGAATCAGGATAGAGAAAACCGGAGTTTGTATTTGTGAGTCACGCAAGTATGTAGCAGTTCTAAAGATACAACTTCAGCTATATTCAGCTCTCCTTTCCTGCTAAGTAGCTGATTCTCACACAGCAGCACAATGCAACTGAAGTCTTCCTAAATAAGCACAAAAAACTTAGGGAAAATTCACCCTACTGCACTCACGTTTGTCACTTCTGTGGTGCTTGAGGCATTCTGCATGCCTTTTATGATGCATAGACACAGTGATGAATAATCTCTACCAACGGAAGAACATTAAAACATTCTAGATGTCAGCACAGATAAGCACCAGAAGACTGTAAGGCTTATCTAGACTTTTTGCAAGACTGGGTTGGCATTTTTATGAAAAAACATCTCTTATGCTTTCTGGTTCCACTTTACTGCCAGCTAGCCAGAAAAGCTGGGGGTTATGATAGGCCCTGGTTTTGGCTCTTTGGGTTTAAATTAACACCTTCAGTTGACTCTGTTAGATAAAATGCATCACAGTATCAGACCTCTTGGTGGAGGCTTTAATTTAGAAGTAAATGGATTGGTAGTTGAAGTGATCTAAAGCGAATTCACTGTTCCACAGAGGGGTTGCATGTGGCCAAATGCAGCTAAAATTCATACCTTTACCTAGTTTGGCTTAAACTCCCATGTAGACAAACTGTGAATATACACAATAAGCCAGATACAGTAATATCTAGGCCCCAACGTATATGGTATTTTCCCCCCAAAGAGAGATCCTTAAGAATGTATTGTAAGAAAAGAGATCTCAATCCAGAGACCATAAAAATTAATTGGAGTTTGCCCACTGTCACTAGAGCATTTGGATCAGTCATAATTAACTCTAAAGTGTGAAGAAACATTTCAAAACAGCCTCTTCTCCTCACCTCCTCAATCATATCCAGTAGAGCCTTGTTACAGTTCTCAAACCGGGATTTCCATGTAGCTGTGTCTTTTTCCAGCTTCTTCATCTTCTTAGTCATCTATACAAACAGGAAGAGAATCTAATTCATAGCAGGAAATCCAAATAGTTAACTGAAGTAAGAACAGATTTTTAGCAATCTTTTCTTTAGGGCATACTTATAGCTCAGTTGCCAGTAACTGCAGTGAACATAATAATGCCATTGTCAAGGAATGATAACTGAGTAATAACTCTCGCCATTAAACTTGTTTAGTTTTAGTTCCTGAGGGCTGAAATTTGACATGAATCCCTCTTGCCATGTACCTTCCACCCTGATATCTACTCCTTTAAAGGTGGAGAAGTTTATTACACAGTTAATTATACATGTAGAAAATACAAGTTCAAGCTGGTACCTGTGACGGAGGCAAGTAAACATTTCTCAAAGGAAAGCTATGTAGTAGGAAGGGATACCCAGGTGTCACCAAATAGCCAAAAGTGGTTACTCCAATACAAAGGGTCAGTTTATAAACTCAGTGCTGTTCTCTTTTACCGTCTCTTGCAAGAGAATGATCTGTAGCCAATACCAGTTTTACACCAGCTTTATCAGGGGGTGGAGGAAACTGAAAAACTGTGGAAAGGGAGATTCCTGATTACAAAGTTTACTCAATTCATGATTCCGTGGGTTTCATGGAAACTGCAAAATCTGGGATTGTCTGCAAAATCAACTTAAAAAAGACTTAATAAAAATAAAATGCTCCTCCCTCCCCAGTAGGATTTTTCCACCAATCAGCACTGAGGGGCAGGGCCTCTGGAGCTCATCCAGGAAATATCAGTGAAATTTGCTATTTATGCCAAGAGCAACCAATGAAAATTGTTTATTTTCTCTGCAATTTAAGTAGACCCCATCTTAAGAGATATTGATGGTTGGGATCTGGACATGATGGCTCAAGAGGTGCCTTCCAATTCTGTGTTCCTTCCACTTCTATCTGAAGTCTGAGATGCTTCTGAAAGCAAAGCCCCTCTGGGTTGCTTTTACTAAATTTAAAGTACAGTTTCCAGCATTGGAAAGGATTCTTTCTCCTTCCTTATTAGTTTAAGATTTCCACTCTTGAGGACAAATACTGAGGTACTCCTTAGGCCTATACTGTGCTTACCCTTGCCTTGGGGGGAAGAGGGAAAACCATGTAGTCTGTGGATGCAATAGCACCTCCAGCACTGAAGATCATTAAAGTTTCCATGATCCAGGACACCAGCATTTTGCATCCTGAAACACATGAACTCTAAGGGTCCAATTTGCTTTTGTGTTTGCACTTTGCTGTTATTGACACTAGTGCCAAAAGGGGCCAGATTCTGGTTTGGTCATATTTAAATTCTCTTTGCATTGGAAGAAGCAAATATACAAGGTGCACAATGGTGGTGAATAGGGCTCTAAAGATTGAAGCCAACATTTTTGCCAACTCATATATGATATTAAGTGGACACTAAAGCACTAGGTTAGATTTTAGGTATCATTTGGATTGTTCCTCTTTATTCTTTCAAATAATTTTGATTTTTTTGCTGGAGAAGAGACTGGAATATTCAACCTCCAGTGCTGAGAAGACACAGAAGGGTATAAATTCTAAGCTGGCAAAAATCATCATAGCTCAATTAGGTCTACAGAAGAGCTGGACCCACATGTTTCTGTGAAGAGCAGATCCTAGATCCATTCTTCTACTGGACTTTGAGCATGGTGGTGATTTTCAACCTTTTTTCATTTGCAGACCCCTAAAAAATGTGAATAGAGGTGCAGACCCCTAAAAAAAATTGAAAATGGAGGTGCAGCCTTGGGATCTAAAACTTTATGTTTGTAGTCATCTTTCATGGACTCCTTAGACATAGTTTGTGGACCAAATGTTGCAAATCACAGGAGTATGGTATCAGCTGACAATTGGAATTAGAAATGTACATTGAAAGTATATCAGAGTCATGTAATATGATTGGTCTTGGTGATCAACGTATTATTCTACCATGTGTGCAGAAATCCAAAGACAAATAATCACAAAAGAGAATCATCCAAATCAAAATGAAAAGTGTCAAGGGCTGTTTTTGGAAATTATCTGTGCTACTTACTTTCTCCATCTCCTGTTTGAAACTAGCAAACACCTCATTACTTTTTGTCAGCGTTTTCTGGAATTCTTCAAACCTTTCAGAGTAGAGAGTTATCTACAGATTGAGGAGCAAAAAAAGGAAAAGAAAGAAAAACCAGATCAGCTTTACAATCCCCATGAGGGCAAACTGATCTTATTCGATTGGCTCTTATTTTAATTAAATGTGAAGGGCATAACTCTGATTAAATGATAAGATATTTTAGTGGTTGCAGACCAGCTTCTGTTTGGAGGTCTGAAAACACTACAAAAACTTGAGTGAATTTAGCCTTTCTATACACTTATGAGGTCAAGAAGTATTATCATTTCTCTATTACAGATGAGTAAACTGAGAGAGAGAGAGCAGAAATATTTTGGCCGATATTTTCAAAAGTAGCTGGAAACTATTGTTGCTGAAGATTAGGCTCAACTGGTTTTATGTGCCCCCTTTCCCCCATCTCCCAAAAAAGAGGAGAAAGCCCCAATAAGTGGTGACTGCTGAACATGTTTGCATATGTGATGTCCTTAAGTTCTCTCAAGCAGACAGCAGTGAAACCTAGAAAAAAACCCAGGGACTCCTGTTTTAAGTACAAGACCTGAATATAACACCTGCATACAACTGTCATATTTTTCCATGTTTCTAGAGAAATGAACAGATCAGGTGCAGAAAGAAGCTACCAGGAGATCATAGGAAAGGAGGGTCTATTTTTTGAGAAGCAACTAAAAGAGGTTAGTTTGGCAGAACTAATGAGAGGCCTGGCAAGATGTAGGCTGATCTAGAATATGATTGTTGCCGAAGGTAAATATGTAAATGAGGGTAAACACAAGAGAGAGACAAGATTTAAGTTGAAGGGCAATGTTGGCCGGTGAAATCTGATGGGTCATTCTAAATGTTAATTAGATGCATAACAATACTACTATTTGTTACTGGGTCAGGAGCCAGGACACCTGGCTTCAAATCCTTATGCTACTGCTTTCTTGTGAAAGTCACTGCACTTCTTTGTGTCCCCTTCCCCCTTCTTTCCCTCCCACCTTTTGTGCTTCATTATAGTATAATTCTTTCAGAGTAAAATATGCCTGTCCAGTGACAAGCCCTGATCTTGGCTGGGGTCTCTGGGTAACACTAATAATAATTCATATAATCTAAATTTAATAAACAAATTAATGTGTTTTATAGTCTCTGGATTAGGAACCATCCCTTGTTATGACCATGAATCATGTTATCACAGAGAGATAAAGAGCACTTAGCTTCACTTTCATGGTTTGGCAAGGCATGTCCATACCCTCTCCTCTGTATGCTGTTCTTGGAAGCCAAAACATGAAGGAAGTCCTGCCCGATTGCTTCCACTCTGCATGTGCCAACTCCCAAAATGAGACAGTGGGTGTGTCATTGGCATGTGCTCAGGGCCACTCTAAGGCAGCTATGTTGCTTCATTTCTGGGAGTTAGGGTGTATCGAGTGGGAGTGAATGGCCAAGAGGTGCTTTGTGCTGGTGCTCCTGTGTGTGGCATGGAGGCAGTGTAGACATGCCCTTAAATTCCTTGTGTGGGCAAAGACCCTGGGTAAAAAGAGAGAGCTGCTGCTGCTTCAGATATAAATTTATAGATGTAGTGCTATAGGAATGAGAACCTTCCCACCATTCTGTTAATTATGTGCTTGAATGAGCAGAAGGTAGTGCTTTAAACAAATACGCTCTCAGAGAGATGGTGGCTCCATTTGCAAAGCTGGGGTGTGGAGTTACAGTGAAGACTCTCATAAAGTCACCACGTTTTACATTCAGTTCAATTTGTTATCTTTAATGTAGGGTCTTATTCAGACAACAACAAAAAATGAATGGCCCCTGTTAGCTTTTATCTTATGCTTTCTTTCAAACTATAAAGCACAAGGTGCTAGCATAAGTAGTACACTTGGAGAGCATGTGCGTTATATTGAATTGGATCACCACACAATAGGTGTGTGTTTTGAGTTAATAGCAAGTACTTTTAACCATGACGCGCATTTGAGTTCTCCAGCATAAGGCACTGGTGCTAATGTTACTGCTTAGTTCAGCGGAAGCTTAGCTGCTTCTTCTGAAATAGAGTAGAATATAACTCTGGGATTACACTGGGCAAAAATGATGCCTCCCATACTGACAAATATTGTCTCCTCATTCCACGGGCTTCCCAGTCTGTCTATATCCATATACTGTCTCTAACTTGCTTAGGTTATCTGAGGCAGGAATTGAGTTATTTGTTCTGTGTTTTAACAGCACCAAGTACAATAGGAACTGGTCCAAGACTGGGCATCTCAGAGCTATGGTGATGTAAGTAATAAATAACAAAGAAGAATTACTGCAATATTCTAAAGTGATAGACCTCTTTGACTACTTGGTTTCTCAAATTAAGGCCATGCTACAGCAGAACATGTAAGTTAAGAATGTGAGTAGTCCCATTAAAACCAGACACTAAAACCTTTAACTAAACAAAGTGAGACGAGCACGGGGCATTGTCAACAGTCTGACTGAGTTCCTTTTTCACAATTTTTCATTACCATTTGAAATGTACGTTAAATCTATTCTGTTTTATCTGTCCTTTCAATTTCATTAAATTGGCTACAAAGGTATAGCTGATACACAAAGCTTTTTGAACCCAGCATAAAAGCTAATTAAAAGAAAACTGGGAACAAATTTGCATTTAGGACCAACTCTTCAGGAGACCTTTGAAGTTTGATAGAGGGACCTGTCAAATTTGTGTCCATAAACAGAAAGCTCGCAATAAATAATGTAATGTTCTTCAGTGTCTTCCCTGCTTTTTTTAACCTTTGAAAATGTACATAAAAGACCTTCTTATCATATTCATAGAGATATAGATGAAGACATCTCTGATGTGACTGCACAGGAGAGCTAGACTGTTTTGCATGGACTGTAACTCCAAAAAAATGGGTGGAGCAGGAAATCCTATAATGCACCATGTACAGGTTGATGGAAAAAGCCATGGAAAGCTTTGATTTCTTATGCCTGTACTTGCTAGCCAAAATAGCTCTCTGGACACACAGCAGCAAGTAAGATACTCCACAGAAAGAAATAAATAACTTACTCAGATAGGGCAAGAAGAAGGCCAGAAAAAATAATGCTGTTCTTTGAGTTGTACTTTCACCCCCAGCATGTTGCTTGGAAAATGTCACTTCTACATTCTAGCCCAGTGGTGCTCAACCTTTTTGATCTGGACTGGACCTGACTGGTGGTCCTGACCTGGCACCTGTGTGATTGTGGCAGGACCCCAACCTGGCCCCATGGAGGGGAGGGGGCATGGTTTGGCTCTAAACCAGCCATGGGGAAAAGGGACATGGCTTAACAGGGGGACAGGGTGTGGTCTGGCAGTCCAGATGCGTGGGAAGAAGGGGTGTGGCCTGGTCCTGATTGGACTGCATGGAGGTGGGGAGGAGGAAGGGGGTGTGGCCTGGTTCCAACCCACAGTGTGGGGCTTGGGGACTGGAAATTTGGAAGTGGGGGACAGTGACTGTATTAACTGACACCACTTCCCCACTGCTAAATTACTCAACCTATGGGAAGTCCCATAAGATGGATACCATGGCTCTATGGGCTACAACTGGCCTGTAGGCCAGAGATTGAGCATCTGTTTTCTAGCCCAGTGATTCTCAACATTTTTTATACCAGGACTGATTTGTAAACCTCAATGGCCAGTCCTGACCTATTGCCCCTCACTCCTGACCCGCTGCCCTCCATCCCCAAGCCCCATCCACCCCAGTGTGTGGGGCAGTGGGGAGGTGTGGGGGGCATAGGGGGCCCCAAGCAGCCCCTTGCAGGCTGGAGCTCTGCCAGCCTGCAAGGGAAAAGCCAGAGTTTCCCACATTTTTTTCTTTTACAGGAGAATCCATTTTTAAAGTTTGGTCACGACACTTTCATATATTCTTGCGAACCACTTTTGGGTCATGACCCACAGGTTGAGAAATGCTGTTCTAGCCCATAAACAGATCCAGAGCCACAAAGGCTATGTTTATAATAGCCTTTTCTCCCTCATAATATTTCCCATTGTTACTGGGTGTGGTATTTGAATGGTGGTTATACCAGTGGAAGCACTAGCGGAGGCAAGCTGTTGCCACTGTTTTGACCACTTTGTTTTGTTAGTTGGACAGGTTCTGAGTTCTCCAAGGACCATCAGCAAGCACTCAGAGGGTAGTAAGCACACCATTTCTCAGATCATTCTCTCTGGGTTAATAGAAGTCTGCAGGCTGCCTTATAAAGTTTGTAGAACAGAGATCATTCTCAGTCTCATTTACATTCTAAAATATCATTCTCTATTAATGTTTCTATAAGGCTAGGGATACAATATATATTGTCTCAGTCCCTCTTAATTCTTAATGAATATTCAAGGTCTGGAATTATTTTATCAGTTCTTTTGGGTGAAGTGGTGACCAGTCAGTGCTTTTGTAACAGCTGTACATTACTCATCTTCCACTCAGGCCTGATCTGTGAGACAATTTTTAAAAAAAAATTTATTTTAATGCATTTATCAATCACTAGCTGTACAGAAAATCTACAGGCAAGTCTAGGCCACGTCTGACGGTGCTTGAAAATGCCTCTGTGAAAACAAGCCTATGTTCTGCCTGTGCCACTTAGTGGAAAAATGTCACATAGCTGCTCTGATGAAAGTCTGAATACAGTGCTAGGCATGTATGAAAAGCCACCCACATGACTTTTTATTTCAGCACATGGCATATGCAAAGAAGGAGTGAGTGAATGGGTGGGGATTGTCACAGCAACACTCCCAAGCCCTGTCCAATGGGTTATAAACATGTCTGAAAGCTTCTCTGTATAAAAGCCCTCTGTGCATAACCGCTTCATTGGAAGCTAATGAGAATCTGCATTCAGACCACTTAAACACACACTTAAGACCTCACTTGAGTACTTCAAGTTAAATATTCAGTGGATTAGAGGGCAAGTAGCGGTGGGATGAAAAAAATGATATGGATGGTATACTGGTATGGACGCCCAGCTACAGTTCAGCATAGCTCCATGGATTAGTGTTGTATACATATGCAAACACCTCAGAATGATTTGCACTATAGTTCCATGTTCTTCTATGTACTTGGAAATAGCGTTATGCCATTGCCATGGCCTCTTTATGATTGATAATGAAATTAGAAAGAACACCTATAAAGCACTTTAAGTATTTTACCTGGGATGTGTCTCATGGGTTAAAAATGGGCAAACAAAGGCACACCATGCACGGGACTCCCCTACTTCACCTGGGCCTGTAGTATAGTTTCCTGCTCCTTCAGCATTTTGGCCTGGAGTTTCCATTCTGCAGCTTGATTCAGGAGCTGGGGATAGAGCAACAAAGAGAATGTTGTTATTTTCTTGCTTTTATAATTTTAAATCCTAGTGCTTCACTCATGAACGTGTTCTTTATATTCACTAGCACTTTTTGGAAATAACAGAAGTTAGCCCCAGCAAAGTGCAGCGCAAGAAGCTAGTCTGTTTCATGTGTCAGCTAGTTTGTTTCATGTTTCATAGATTAGTGTTTCATGTTATTTTGAAAGTTGGAGAGTCACAATATATTGTGCAGTAAAGAGTGCAGCAGCTAATCACAGAAAAGTGCCTCAAACTTCTATGGGCCTCCTAAATCCTCCTTGTGGCATGTGTCTGTGTTAATACAACTTAAAGCCCATGCCTGTTCTCAGTAGTGTTACAAGGGATGGGCGACTGCAGCATCAGCCCTCATTGTCCATTTAGAACAGCAAGAACAACAGCTGCTGCTGCTCCCAGCACCTGGGAAAACACTTAGTAGAAGTTTAACAATTATTTATAACTAAAGACGGGAAGTTTCCCTGACGTAGTAATGAAATGTTTAAGAAATGCCTGGAAAAAGCATTTTCCAAACATTTAGCAAGCATTTTCTTTGACTGCTAAAGCCAAATGTAAATGTTTTTAGGGTGAAATCCTACAGGCAACTTGAGAAATGATGGATGAGTGGATTGGTTTAATGTGGGACTATGTCCTATAGCAGTGAATCTCAACCAGCGTGCCATGGTTAACATTGGTGTTAACATTGATAGTGTACAAACATGAGTCACAGGATAAATCTGGAGATTTCAAGTACGAAGCCAAAAACATTCTGATCTATTCTGGCCTTTCTGAATTCTTTGCAACAGACAAATAGCTCTATTGCCAGTATTTCTTTGTAGTCATGAAAAAAAGTGAAAGTTAACAGCTGGCATTTTCTGAGGGGTGCTTTGAGTCTAATGAAAGATGCTTCAAGTCTAAAAAAGGGTTCAGAACAACTTTCCTATAGAAAGAAGAGGTATTAAGAACAACCAAAGTAGATACTGAAGAACTATACCTGAAAACATAACTATGTCCTCTGGTACAGGGCATTTTTGGGGCGAGCACTATAAATAGCTATAGAAAACTCTGAAATTCCATTGTGAAAGTTTATATACAAAGAACTAGAACTCTTGGTTCCAAAGTGATGCCTTTTATTAGACCAACTGGGAAATTGCAAGAAAAAATGTCCTTTTCTGCAAGCTTTCGGGATCAAAGTCCCTTGGTCAGGCTCTGGGAAAAGTATAGATGGTACAAGATGGTAAAAAGTCCCCATGGAACTATACCTGAAGATGTCCCCATGGACTTTTTACCATCTTGTACCATCTATACTTTTCCCAGAGCCTGACCAAGGGACTTTGATCCCGAAAGCTTGCAGAAAAGGACATTTTTTCTTGCAATTTCCCAGTTGGTCTAATAAAAGGCATCACTTTGGAACCAAGAGTTCTAGTTCTTTGTATGTCTTCTTGTCTCTGACCAACACAGCTGCCAAGTACACCCCGGACATTGTGAAAGTTTGACACTAACCCTTCTAGTAAAGATAACATGGGCAGGATTTCTTGAACAATATATAACATGAGAAAGTGAGGCAATAACATATAAATGTTGGCAGAACTTGTTCCATTGACAAATTATCAACACTCTCACCTAGAGCCTCCAGACCAGGGTCATATGAAGTTCAAGTTATGGTCAAGTACTTGTTTACATCTAAGAAGCACAGAGGGAAGCTTTGGGATTAGGAGGAGTGGTGCCAAAATGGTGTTCACAGTAGTATAATTAAGAACGAGTGTCTGGCTCCTCTGCAAACCCTACAGGACCCATTACCCGAATCCCTTGTTTTGACATCACTAATTTTAAAACAACAGAGAAGAACATAGGAACTTTCATGTTGAGTATACAATCTGCCCTCTACCTTGTCTTTAAAGCAAGATATCTCTACACAGTGTGGTATCTCTACAAAAGTGGACACATATCCTAGAGCTAGGTGAATTCTTTAGTGAATGATGAGTTTGCGGAAAAATGCAGTTTCATGATGACTGAATTTATTCACAAATCCAGGTCAAGACTAATAGAATAGAAAAAAAAAAATCAGAAAGGCCAGAACATTATTACATTTCAACTTCTAATTTTAAGATTACATTTTTATGTTTAAATTGTCCTGACTTGTTAAAAAAGGTTAAATAACCCCAGAGTGAAAGCAGACATTTTGTTTCAGGTGAAACACACATCTCAGTCAACACAAAAAAATATATTTTTTTGGTTTGGTCACTGACCTGAAGAATCTGTCATTTGTGTGGCTCCAGTACAGCAGCAAAGGAAACTTGTCTATATACCTTTAACTCAGCCAGTTGGATAAAAAGTTGGCTCCACTCATGCAAAGCTCCCATTGGCTTTTACAGAGACAGGATTTTAGCTAAGATCCCAAGTTTTGGCTAACAAATAATTGTCAGGTGTGAGTGTAATGCAGAGAATCACAGGGAAGTCCACCCAGCATGAAGCAATGATAAAGATGATTTTTAGTTGGATGGGCCTAATTTTTGCATCTCTTTCTTGGTAAGGCACGCATATAATGTACGCGAAGCCTGTTTATTTGTGCTAACATTTGACAATGGGCTGGATTTTCAAGGCTAGGCCTTGCTTTTTGTACCTCTGTGGTTTTTGGAGGAATGATGGGTGCTTGGGTTTAATGGTTTGAAACAAAACATTGAAAAGCCTAAAGGCCTGTCATTCTCCAGACCAGTCATTAATCCCAAGGACTGCTTGGACTTTGATCATTATTGCTTAAATTTCATGGGAGTGTTTCTGGAAGTCTTTTCAGTTAGTATGTTGAAGTGCCCCCTGCTCAGAGCCCTTAGGTCTCCTGCAATATACTTGAAATGAACTGATGAGGCAGAGGAAAGTAGTTATTTTTGATAACGAACCTCTACCTGCTAATGAAACCCTATTTCTGTTTTATTGCATTACTACTTCCAGGAATAAAATCTTATGTAACAGAGACAAACTGCACAGCATTGACACAAACCAGTATGACTTCTTACCTAGCCTGGAGTCATGTATAAACATAAAATTGGTAGAAACTGAATCACGAAAACTGATGTTTTTATTAATAAGATATGAAGTGGTAACAAGGGAGACCCAACTCATAAAATATAAATATATATTTAATATTGTGTTTGCACATATTGCTTCACTGAAAAATATTTTGTAATATTTTGTTACTTTGGGCATGGTAGTGGCCTGAAGGCCCAATTAGCATCAGACCTTGTTGTGCTGGAGAACACAAGAACAGTTGTTGCCCCATAGAAATGCCCTTCAGAAAGAATTTAAGACAAGATGTAAGAAGAAATATTTGAGGTTGACTTAGCAAACCCATGTCTCCTAAATGGTCTAAATTGCTCCTGCAATTAACTTGATCCAAAATGTGTGTTACAAGTAAGACAAGGAAACTGGGGAGTCCAAATCATATCATAGATTCATAGATATCAACCAGATAGATATAGGATGATAGAGAAAGGCTGTAATAGGCCATGGAAGCTGTGTGCTAATCAATTCTTAGGTTGTGCTGACCTCTAGGGAAGGACTTACAGTACTAACTAGAGGCAAGGCTTTTTTGTGATATCTTTTACTGGACCAATATATAAATAGCTATTGGACAAGTTTGTGGGCATCCAGTGCCATTCCTCAGGTCTAAACTAGTACCAACTGGTACATTTTTTTACTAGAGCTTGCATTTTTCTTTGCTTGTGTAGGCTGAGCTGTGCACCTGGAGAGACAGAACCATATTAAATTGCTGTCTGTAATAGTGTAGGTAGCAATAGTGGGAGCACCTGAGAAATTTCTCTGCCTGCATCACTCTGTAGGTTTGACTTTTTCTGGCACTGCTAGAAATGACAATATTCCTGGGACGCTGAAATTGATTGGAAACAGTATTCAGAAGTTGAGAAACAGTTAGCTAAGAGATTCTGAAGTCAGACAGAAGGCAGCATAGAGCTCTTTTCACAGCATCCGACGAAATGAGTTCCTGCACATGAAAGCTTATGCATCTCTGATTCTGTTAGCTTATAAGGTGCATCTCTATTTTGCCTTATTCAGAAGTTACCACACTACAGACACACAGAAAAATGCTGAGTTTAGCGTAAATCTTTATTTTGCTTGAGCAGTTATGTACTTATATTTTATTAAATGACTAGCTTCTTGACTCAGTTTGTCATTATGTTAAAGATGCATCCTGCCCTTGCTTTCTGGCTTGAGTAGCTGGGTTCCCCAGTTCTTGGTGGGGAAATACAGGAGGGGGAATCTTCTTCTGTGGACACTTGGGGGCAGCAGAGTTACTCCTTGACCAATGCTCCAAACTCAGAAAGATTGTTTTGTTTTTTACTTTGTGGCAAATTTGAGCTATTGACTGTGCATAAGCATCTACATACTGAAAAAAGCCACTATATTCAATATAGAGTCCCCTGTTCATTCTGAGCTGGCATTCTAGGAACATAAATGTTTGTTTAATACTTTGTGGCATAGGTTGCTGAGTAGCAGGAGCACATCTTAAAAATATCCTTGTACAATGCAAAATTTTGTAGGTCCAGCATGTCTAGCTGAGTGTGGTAGAGAATTTTTGTAGCTGGAGTAAAAGCACATACAAGCTACAGCATCGTGTTGAAGTTAAGACAATAAATTAGGCCTCAAAGAAATACCAAACAGATACTTAGATCAAACGTTTTAAGCAAATATTTTTAAAATAAAAAAAACTGTAGCTAAGCCAATGTGATCTCCAAAACAGTATATACAAAGTTATAAGAGATGTTAAGAATATTCCAAAACACTTTCCTTCTGTATCCCTTTTATCTCCAGTGTTGGATGGAGATAAATTTGAGAAGGCCTGCATCCAAAATGTCTTAATTAGACGTACTTTAATAACAGGGTCTTAAACTAAATCTACAATATGATTCAAGAGGGGGACAAGTGTAGTCTAGTAGTCTGGAGGCAGGACTCTGAATGACGAACTAATCCTGCTCTAACACTGACTCATTGTATGGCTTTCAGCCAGTCACTCGACTTCAGGTTTCCCTTGCTCTAAAGGGGTGATGACAATATATATGAACATACTTCAAAGGCAGGTTTGTGAGCATTAACTTGGATAATATTTGTAAAGGTTTTTGTACTTAAGGCCTTATTATTATGTGCCCATTTTATATGGCTTTTTAGCTAATTGAACTGGTTCTCAAGCCTGTTATCTCAGCGGTGTTAGTCACCCAGAGCAGCACTGCAAAGAAAATATCCCCACCCTGTACAATTTGGAAGGATGTTAATTACAACTGCTTTGTAAAAAATGGAAATAACAGCAATGTCTCAATGTACCCTAGGTAACTATATGCTAGACAGAGCCAGCCAAAGACAGCAATGGCAGCCCCATGTGGTCAGCTACCTTCTGAGAGGACCACCACTTCTAGGGGCTGTACTTCTGGCGCACACTGATTACTGGTTGATCCTCTTCAGCCTCCTTCATAAGTTCCTGAATTCCTTACTGCTTGCAACCCCAAGTGGCAGTACTTGCTACTGCTCCAGCTGAGTGGTTGGTCTTCATTTGAATACTGTGTAGGGCAGGGGCGGGCAATCATTTTGGGTGGAGAGCCACTTACTGAGTTTTGGCAAGCCATTGAGGGCTGCATGACAGGCAGTCGGGGCAGAGATATATTAATTTTCTAATTTTTTTAGGGGTCCCACGGGCTGGATAGAATGGCTGCATTTTTCCCACCCCTGGTGTAGGGTCATCAGAGCCAAACATCATAGGGAGGCAGAGAGGTGATGGACGCAAGGCCTTATAGGTTAATTTTTGCACACTGCTCAACAAAACCTGGAATTTGTCTTGATGCTGCCTTTCACCTTTTTTTTTTTTGCTAAATGGACGAAATCTTCAACTGTTTGGAATCAATGGCAAAGTTCCCAAAGACTTCGGTATATAATTATTCCAGTGTATAATTACTCTCATTGTCCCTGGAATGGTATGATACTTCACATTGTGTGCCCAGGCAAGAATATAAATCTTCTTTGCCAGATTTTGATTAGTTCCATGTTACTGATGGGGTGGGCCTGGGCAATCCCTGTTTTTTGTACATACTGGCTGCGTCTACACAAGATGCTAACTTCGCAGCACTAAAAACAAGTACTATAAACAAGTAGTAAATGACTGCCGAGTAACCAGTTACTTCACAGTAATGCCGCCAAATGGCTTTTTCGTGACCCTGACTTTGCAGTAGTCCGAGACTACTCCACAGTAGTGTCGCATCATGCTTTTTGCCATGCAACACTATTGCGCAGTAGTTGTGGGCTACTGTGAAGTCAGCATCTCCTGTAGATATGGCCACTGAATATTTAAATCTGTACAAGTATGAGGGAGACTCTCAATCTCACCTGCCTTATTTGCGCATATATTAAAGGGATGGGTGCAATGTAATAGGATAACATACTCACAGTCAGGATGTTTACTATGAACAGAGCTGTGCAGAACTCAGAATTGAATTCTTTGCAACAGAAGAATTGCTTTATTATTTTTCTGTAGTCAAGAAATTAGTGAAAATTAAGAGCTGCCATTTTCCAGCGGGGTGCCTCCAGTCTAACGGAGGATGCCTTGAGTCTAAAAGATGAATATGGGTTGTCAGTGTGACAAAGTAATTAGCAGAGCTAACCACACATTGTCATGCATTAGTAGGTGCATCACAAACAGGTCCAGGGAGGTAATCCTTCCCCTCTATGCAGCACTAGTCAGGTCACAGCTGGAGAACTGTGTCCAATTCTGGGTGCCACAATTCAAGAGGGATGTGGACAACCTTGAGAGGGTCCAGAGGAGGGCCACTCATATGGTTAGAGGCCTGTAGGGAAGGCCCTATCAGGAAATGCTAAGGGTCCTGGACCTTTTCAGCCTCCGCAAGAGGGGAGATCTTGTGACAGTATACAAGTTCACTGGAGGGGCAGCAGGGAATAGGAGATGCTCTGTTTACCAGGGCACTCCTTGGAATAACTAGGAACAACAGCCACAAACTCATAGAGAGCAGATTTATGTTGGACACCAGAAAGAACTTCTTCACAGTAAGGGTTGCCAGAATCTGGAATGGGTTTCCCAGGGAGGTGGTGCTCTCCCATACCTTGGGGGTCTTCAAGAAGAGACTGGACAAGCAACTGGCTGGGGTCACATGACCCCAGCACTTTTTCCTGCCATGGGCAGGGAGTTGGACTCAATGATCCACTGAGGTCCCTTCTGACCCTAACATCTATGAATCTATAAAATGGCTTATATAAATATTTTCCTTGGTTTTGATCCAGTTGTGAACCTAGCATTTCATGCAGCTCTCAAACCAGAGAACTAAATCCTAGCCCTTCCTAAATTCCTACTAGTGGGTAAATCTGGGTGTGTGTACATGTGACGCTATATCGATGTAGCAACATGCTACAGCAACTCAGTCTCCATGCATGTCTGTTTATTTGTACTGTTTATCCCTGTTAAGCATGTTTTAAGTTCCTAGTTTTTGCCCATATTTTGCTTTGCTATTGCCATCTTCCAGGTTACATGTCAAGACTATTCATTTCCCAGACAATGTGGGGAGAGTAGAGGATAAGCACAGCTTCCTTCATATCTCATCAACACTCCTTTAGAATCAGCTGAAGGGCTGGTGCGAAGTGACTCATTCTCATCCTTCCTGAATTGACTGCATCACTTTTGCACTGCTTTTAGCTTCTGCCCACCCCTGTGAAAGGCCATCAGTCCCCTGAGGTGAGTTTGTTATTTCAGTGTGACTGTATGACCATATGACTTTGTTCTCCTGACAAAGTGTAGTGTTTTATTATATTCCTTTCTTTTGAAGAGAGAGAATATGGGATATCAGAGGGATTCTTACTAAGTAACAGCACAGCTTTGCCCTTTATATGTAATTATATGTTATGGTTTGCTTAAAAACTGTTTAGTGCTAATGAAAGGTGCCAGTCTGATAGTCCGGGAGACTGCTTTCCTCTCAACTTAGGACAGAGTAGCAATGAAAGACTTCTTCACACTGTTCTGCCATTGTTTCAGAACTCAGACCAGGAGTGCCACCAAGATGAGAGGTGAAGTGGCAGTAAGGGGTGATTTAGGGGTTAGGCTATTGCTAGATAGAAGACAGACAGGCCATCAGACAGATGACACAGATACATACATATTCCTTTTCTCTCTGATGTCGCTCCTCTGCCTCCTTCATCATTTCCTGTGACTGCTCCAACTTGGCATCTACCAGTTTCTGTTGAAGCTCTCTGTGCTTGAATATTTTGTCAAGGTGCTGCAAGAAAACAAACCCTGCTGAATGTGCAGATTTACTGATGCATATATACCCTCATGCTCAAACATGTATGACTGTCTTCTGGGACAAGAATAAAACTAAATGTACTGCAACTCTCAAACCACAATGCTCCCAGGAAACTGTAATACTTGTAAGAACAAGTTGTGTCAGAATTTATGCTGGAAGCAAAACCAGTGCACCTAAAAATGCTTGTGTGCCCTTTTCAGAACTGGGCATTAAAATATATAATATCTATCTATATCATCAGTATGATCAAAGAGGCCAGCTAGAGCTCAAATAACCATTCACCAAAACATAAACATAAGTGACACACAGTTAACTGGTGAAGATTTTTTTGACTGAGACAGGATTTGGGAAACAAGTCTCATAGCTAACTGAGCCCATAAAGAAAACAGGCACTTTAGGCCCATATCTTGCCTGGAACAATTTATGTAGCTGCAAAGTATTTACCATCACAGAGTTCCATGCAAAATCAAGGACTTTGAGTACAGAGCATCTACCCTCGTTCAGCGCAGTATGTAGACATGTGCTAATCTTCAAGCATGTGTGCTGTCCTACTCAAGTCAATGGCACTGTTTTTATTTAACAGATGCAAAGTTAAGTAAGAGCTTGTGTGCTTAACTGGATACCCATGTCTGATCTCCTGACCACACTTCTTGGTACCTTGCAGGGTCAAATCTTCATTGATCATTATTTTTTTCTCCCCCCAAATCTATGTGCTCCAGCTCAACCTCCTAACACAGCAAGAAGCACTGGGTGAATTTATTTAACCCCTATACACAGGAGGTCGGTCAGACTAGATGATCTAATAGTTCCTTTCAGCCTTAAAATATTTGTATACATAACAGCATCTCCAAAAGAAATGCCAAGAATGAACCTTCTGACTCTTGTACCCCAGAGTAAACCATGCCACTTTCACATAATTACAGGATTAAAAATCCTGACAATATCCCTTTACTTTTTTGGCCCACTACTAAAGACCATCCAAAGCACATACATTTCATTCAAGAAAAATCAGGAAGGTTTGAAAACACTTCTTGAATTGTTGAATGCATTGAAATGTTATGATCAGCTGTGATATTTACTGAGAAGATAATATCTATCAAAAAGGCTGTGCCTGCCAAGTAGAATCTATTCAAAATGCCCACGTTTACATTTTTATTAATCTGTAGAAAGAGGGACTTTACCTGCCTCCTCTAAAGTCTTTGTTAAGTTGGAGCATATTCTTAAATCTTTACTGTGCTACGCATATGATCCACTGCACAAAAGCCTCCATGAAAACAAAATTGTTAATGAGTTGGGAGGACAGGAGGGCAATAAGATTGACTCTTATACACTTCAAAGTCTGTCTCTCCCTACCTATTGTCTGTTTGGAAGGCATTCGTATTGTTCTCACCTCCTCTCTGAGTTCATATTGATCAATGATGCATTTCAGTTTCTCTGCCAACTCTGTGTTCTCTTGACATAGTTTCATATTCCTCTCACTTTGCTGTTCAATCTGAGACTGGATTTCACTCAGTGTGCCCTGGAAATGATTAGTTATCTCTTTTCTCTTCTCATCTTCCTCCCGTGCCTGTTGGATTGTTTCCTCCTGTTGTTAAAAAGGTAGAGAACGTGATCATTTAAATGTATAACACAACCAATTTGAAAAACATAATGCATTTGATTAGTGTGAGGGTTATCACTGAAGGATTACAGGGTTGCATTTCTCTTTGGAGCCCTGTCTATATTTCATATATCCGAACAACACGTATGACTATAAATACATAGATCAGATTACACAGTAACCTTGAAAAAAATGAGGAAAACAAAGTCTTGCATTTAAATGAACACTCTTCAACCAAAGGAAGTACCTTTACCCCCTATTTTACAAGACAATGAATGTGGTGAAATTAGGAAAAAAGTCCTAAAACATTTTATTTGACCTGAAATAATGTGTTGTGATTCGATTTGATTTAACCTGTTTTCTTATAATGGGGGTCAATCAGGCCATTTTGAAAAGAAAGTCACAGAATCATAGAGGGCTGGAAGGGACCTCAGGAGGCCATCTAGTGCCATCCCTATCCAGCTTGTTTGAGATATATCCTTATCTAACTTATTCCTAAAACTACACAATCCTGTCACACAACTACAAAGCACTTTCCACTAAACCATCAAAAGCACTCGAACCTGCTACAGATAAAGCAGGGTAACAAGGGCTGTCAATGTCCTGCTACTACAAGGGTTGTTAAAATTCACTCAAGAGTCCAAAAGTTAGTTTAGAAAATGTCAAAGCAAAACATTTTGACATTTCTCAAATGAAACATTTCATTTAGAAAAGGTCCAAATGCAATGTTTCAACTTTCCATATTTTTTTCACCTATAGTAGTGGGGGCCAACCTTTTTGGTGTTTTTACCACAACTTAGTCTGGGACCCTCCCCAAGTGCCACTCTAGTCTTCTTACAGATTCATCGATTCATGGTGTCGAAAGGGACCTCAGTGGGCTATCTAGTCCGACCCCCTACCCCTGGCAGGCAAGAAAAGAAACACCAACCCTGGGGTCATGTGATCCCAGCCAGGTGCCTGTCCAGTCTATTCCTGACGACCCCCAAGGATGGGGCGAGCACCACCTCCCTTGGGAGCCCATTTCAGATTCTGGCAACCCTGACCGTGAAGAACTTTTTCCTAATGTCCAGCTTTAACCTTCTCTCTAGTAGCTTATGGCCTTTGTTCCTTGTTGTGCCGGGGGTGCCCTGGTGAACAGATCATCACCTACTTCATGTTGCTCTCCCCTTATGAATTTGTACGCTGCCACAAGGTCCCCTCTCAGCCTTCTTTTGGAGAGGCTGAAGAGGTTTAGGTCCCTTAGCCTTCCTCGTAGGGCCTTCCCTAAAGGCTTCTAATCAGACGAGTGGCTCTTCTTTGGACCCTCTCTAGATTGTCCGCATCCTGCTTGATCTGCGGCATCCAGAACTGGACACAGTACTCCAGCTACAGCCTGACCAGTGCCGCATAGAGAGGGAGAATCACTTCCCTGGACCTGGTTGTGAAGCACCTACAGATGCATGACAAGGTGCGGTTGGCTCTGCCAACTGCTTCATCACACTGGCGACTCATGTTCATTTTGGAGTCAACAGTGACTCCAAGATCTTTTTCTGCCTCAGCGGAGCTGAGAAGGTCGCCCCCCAGCCTGCAGGTATGATAGCAGTTCTTCCTCCCTAGATGCAGCACCTTGCACTTATCCTTATTGAATTGCATCCTGTTGCTCTCTGCCCACTTCCCCATCCTGTTTAGGTTGGCCTGGATCTGGTTTCTCCTCTCCAGGGTGTTAGCTGCACCCCATAATTTTGTGTTGTTTGCAAATTTGGACAGGGTGCTTCCCACCCCCTTGTCCAGATCACTGATGAAGATGTTGAACAGCATCGGCCCCAGAACTAAGCCCTGAGGGACTCCACTGCACACATCTTTCCAGGTTGACACCGACCCGTCCACTACCACCCTCTGAGTGCAACCCTTGAGCCAATTTGCTACCCAGTCTACTGTGTAATCATCCAAGCCAAATCTCCTCAGTTTATTAATAAGGATGGTATGGGATACCTTGTCAAAGGCCTTCTTGAAGTCCAGATAGGTTACATCCACCTTGACTCCTGCATTTAAACAATTGGTGGCCTTGTCATAAAAGGAAACTAGGTTAGTCAGGCAGGACCTGCCTGCTAAAAACCCATGTTACCCCTCCACATCACACTAGCCAGTGGGCTCCCACAGATGTGCTCCTTGATAATTTTTTCTAGAATTTTCCCAGGGATAGAGGTATGGCTGACTGGTCTATAGTTCCCCAGGTCCTCCTTCCTCCCCTTCTTAAAGATTGGGACAACGTTAGCCCTCTTCCAATCCTCTGGAACCTGACCCAAGCACCATGAGTGCTCATATATCCTTGCCAGTGGATCAGCTATGACCCCTGCTAATTCCTTCATTACCCATGAGTGGGGTCCCTCTGGTCCTGGTGATTTGAATATGTCCAGTCCCTCCAAGAGTCTTTTTACCGTATCGGCACTGACCATTGGTCAGCTGATGTTCCCTTTGTTGGTGTCTGTGATGTATGCTGAGGGTTTGTCTAGATTCCCATTTAAGAAGACAGAGGAAAAAACGCATTGGAGAGCTCTGCCTTGTCCCTGCTATCCGTCACTAGGCGCCCCACCTGTCCTGTATGGGTCCTATGCATCTTCTTTTTGCTCCCAATGTACCTAAAGAAGGACTTTTTATTGTCCTTAATCCCTGACGCTAGCCTGAGTTCTAGAGCTGCCTTGGCCTTCCTGACTGACTCCCTGCAGGTGCAGGCCAAAGAAGTATACTCCTCTTTGCTCGCTACCCTCTGCTTCCACTTCCTGTATGCCTCTTTTTGCCCTTCAGGTATCCTGGATGCCTCTGGTTAGCCAAAGTGGCTTCCTGGCCCCCTTGCCCCCTTTCCTCTGCCATGGGGTTGACTCACTCTGAGCCCAAAGAATGGTTTCCTTGAGGAATGTCCACCCATCCTGGACCGTCAACACATCTAAGTTCTTAGTTCCTAGCACCCTGCTAACCAATCTCGAGTCTATCAAAGTCAGCTTTTTTAAAGTTTAGCACCCGTGTCCTGCTGGGTATAATGCTGGATAGTGAATTTAATCATTTGGTGATTGCTGTCCCCTAAGTTGCCTTGAATCCGCAGGTCCCCCACCAGGTCATGCCCTGTGGCCAACACCAAGTTGAGCAAGGTGTTGCCCCTGGTAGGACACCTTACCTCTTGTGTTAGGTGGAGGTCCTGAATACAGGTTAAGAACCTGTGCAAGCAGTTAGATCTAGCTGACTGCTCCTCCCAGCATATGCCTGGGTAGCTTCTGTTACTCTTTTTCCTTTCCTGTGCTCCCTACCCAATTTGCTGCTCCGCTTTCTGCTCCCTGCCTTATCTGCCACTGTGCTACCTTTCCCCTCCCAGATCTGCTGCATACCACACATAGAGGCTGCCTGTACCACTTGTGTCACCTGTGCTGCAGGTAGGCTACCCCTTACCTAAAGCATTTGCCAAATTTAACCAAATTCACGTTTTTTTGAGTCCCTCTCTCAAGACTCCATTTTTTTGGTGGCAAATCCACTTCTTAATGAAAAAAAACACAAACCACTCCATTCTAATGATAATTTCTGTTTTGTGGAGAATTGTGCCCCAGAAAGATTAAGTGACTGGCTCAGATCACACAAGAAGGCAATGGTAAAGCTGGGAATTGTACAAAGTCTTTGGACTACTTTTCCTCAAAAATGACACGTTCTTTCATTAAAGCAGTGCTATCATGGTCATTATTTGAAACTCAGCAAAGTAATAAATTCAACTGAATGTTAAAAAAAAATCTCCCTGTATTACAGTTATACCTGTAACAAGCTTTTGTAACCATATGAAAATAAAACAGCCAGAAAATAAAAATCACGCAAATATTAAAGCACATTGACAACACATTGAATCTTGGGTATCATTTACCATGTTGTAAAGGGAAAAATAATTGCTTAGACCAGGAAGATTATAAAAAAAATATCACTGGTAAAAGGCACTTTAAGTAATGCTGCAGTTTTTTCAGAGACCTGTAGTGTTAATTTCGATCTTTTCCTCTCTATCAAACAAAAGACTAGAGAATGACCAAGGTACTGGCTGTCTCATGGGGTTCTGGGACCTTGTATAAACTACTCTGCAGCACCAGGACTAAGTACAGGCAGTCAAAAAGCCAGAGGCTGAATCCATTCAGTCTTTGCAGGTTAGTCTAAGCCAGGGATGGGCAATTATTTTGGGCGGAGGGCCGCTTACTGAGTTTTGGCAAGCCATTGAGGTCCGCATGACAGGCAGCCAGAGGCAGATAAAAAATTTAGAAAATTAATATTTAGGGACCCCATGGGCCGGACAGAATGGCCTGGCAGGCTGCATCCAGCCTGCAGGCCTCATATTGCCCACCCCTGGTCTAAGCTGTATAGATTGAATTGATAAGCAAGTGATCAGACATTTACTTTTGATTCCAAAAATGCAGCCACATGACTGTAGTGGCCCAGGCCAGAAGCTGGGGGGCACTAGAGCATGCCTCTCTGCCTGGCTTGGCCAAACAGCTTGAGCCAAGGCTAGTCTGCCCACCCTGTGGGGAGGGGGGCGTTGCAGGGGAGGTGCAAAGCATCCTGGGATGCTGTGAGTTAACTTGAATTTGAAAGGTATCTGGGAAAGAAGTTCAATAAACCAATTTAACTTAAATCAGTTAAGTCTGATACTACATCCATCCAGTTTTATCTTAAGCTGTTTTTGGCCATTTTGAAAGTGGTTTATGTGCACTGAACTTCTGTTGTGTTACAGGTTTGAACCAGTTTCTGATCACTTATACTGGTTTATGTATAATTTCTGTCCCTAGCCTGGGTGTCCATCAAGTAATGAACTTTGCCAAATTATAAAAAGAGAATGGTTATAAGCATGAGTCAGCTGAGAGGAAAAGTGGTCTTGCAGCTGAAACTCTGGACTTGGATCAGGAGATACACTCCTATTCAGTTCCTAGTGATGACCTAGTCCTTCTTAGTCAATTATCTCTCTCTGCTTTTTTCCCCATCTGTAA